CCACCTTAGGTTTATGTGGCTGGCGCCTTAGCCGGTTGAGCTATAGGTGCCGAGCCAGGTAATTTTCATGTTAATTTTAAAAAACATGCAGACTGGGCAGTGATAAAGAAGTATGGTGAAGAATAAAAGGAAGGAGAGAGTAAGCAGCTTGTGGTCTGTTGTAAGAGAAGTGTCTCATGGTTTAAAAAGTATAGAAATCACTTGGCCAAATGAAACTGAACAGGTTCATTTAATGTAGTACTTCTCAGACCTTTACTGTACTACTGTGCAAAGTGAAGCTCAAAGAAAGGAACAGAGCATGTAGTATGTGCCACACTTACTTGACTTTTTCTACATGCTATTCCTATTAACATCAGTCACTAGAATTTTTCTTAAAACATAGATTGAGAAAAACTACACTAAATATTAACCTAATAATTTGAGGCTAATATTAATTTTAGGCTAAAATTTAAATATAGGTTGAAGTGTACCATAAGATGAAAAAGGTTGAAAAACACTGCCCTAGAGGATGAAGGAGCCCAGCATCTGTAGCTTGTTTTGTTATCCTATTATTTGTTTCCCTGATTCTTCTGAACTTGTATGACCTAAGTCTCTGACCACTTTATGGGATTCTGTATTACACACAAACTCCTCATTCTCTTCTTTAAGATACAGATCAACCTCTTACCCGAGAGCTGGAACTATCCATCGGACAGTCATATTTAATCAGCCAGTTGTCATTGCCTCGATCTGTAAAACAAACAAAAAAAGTCAGTAGAGAAATGGGGGCAGGCTGCATGTGGTGGCATGTGCCTATAGTCCCAGCTACTAGAGAGGCTAAGGCAGAAGGATCATTTGAGCCTAGAAGTTGAAGGTTGCAGTGAGAAATGATGACACCACTGCACTCTAGCCTGGGCAACATAGTAAGACCCTGTCAAAAAAAAAAAAAAAAAAAAACGAAGCAGCTTTCAATTTTAGTAATGGTGGACTAAGTTTGTTGGATAACTGGACCAGCCCTTTTTTTTTTTTAAGACAGAGCCTGAAGCTATCGCCCTGGGTAGAGTGCCATGGTGTCACAGCTCACAGCAAGCTCCAACTCCTGGGCTTAAGCTATTCTCTTGCCTCAGCCTCCCAAGTAGCTGGGAC